TCCTCTTGGTATCAAAGGTTCCCATAAAGTTTTGTTGAATTCCAGCCAGTAGTTGCAGAGAAGTAGCGCGGAAACGATTTTTTCTCTATATGCATACTGCATAACTAATCAAGGGCCATAACTCTGGGTTAAAGTGTCTGACCGTAACAAGGCAACGACATACGCATCTCCTCTTGGTATTGAAGGTTCCCATAAAGTTTCGTTGAATTCCAGCCAGTAGTTGCAGAGAAGTAGCACGGAAACGATATTTACTCTATATGCATACTGCATAACTAATCAAAGGCCATAACTCTTAGTTAAAGTGTCTGACCGGAACAAGCCGACGATATGCGCATCTTCTCTTAGTATTGAAGGTTCCCATAAAGTTTCGTTGAATTCCAGCCAGTAGTTGCAGAGAAGTAGCGCGGAAACGATTTTTACTCCATATGCATACTCCATAACTAATCAAGGGCTATAACTCTGAGTTAAAGTGTCTGACCGGAACAAGACGACGATATGCGCATCTCCTCTTAGTATTGAAGGTTCCCATAAAGTTTTGTTGAATTCCAGCCAGCAGTTGCAGAGAAGTAGCGCGGAAACGATTTTTTTCTCTATATGCATACTGCATAACTAATCAAGGGCCATAACTCTGAGTTAAAGTGTCTGACCGTAGCAAGGCAACGATATGCGCATCTCCTCTTGGTATTGATAATTCCCATAAAGTTTTGTTGAATTCCAGCTAGTAGTTGCAGAGAACTAGTCCAGAAACGAAATTCAGACGGACAGATTGACGGAAGGACGGACGGACAACGCCATAACTATATCCCCCTCCCGATGGAATCGGGAGGGGGATAATAATTACAAAAACAATAATAAAAAAGTTAATAAACATATTTTAAATGTTAAGGCAATAAAAATCATGGTAAAATTGAGAAAATAAGAATCCCTCAAATAGTTCAAAACGGCAGAATTGATATGCAGGATATGTTGCAGGCTCGGTTTGATTGAGTCTGTTCATGGACGGAACTATTAAGTTTAACTACCACGCCCCTAGCACCGGCTTGAGCAGAATTCAACATTGAACATGAAAAGGCAAAATTTTGAATTTAGAAACATCCGCATGATATCAAAACAAGGTTTTAGTGTATCAAATAAGGATTTAGTGTATGAAAATGCAAAATTGCAATAACATAAACATTCTGTATGGAATTACTGTCATATAGAAAACCAACAATAATCACTATCAGCAAATGCAATTGATACCCAAATCAATATATTTACCAAATTTATATAATAAAGGTTGACAAAAGCAAGATAAAAATGAATGTTTAATGCAGAAAACTAAAATGCCTGTGATTAAAATGCATAGCAACATTGGAATGGCCATAGTATGAAAAGGCTCTTGGTATGCAAATAATGCTTTAAAATAATAACATTCAACTGACGAAAAAAAAACTTTCTGAAGTCATTTTTTATTTTATTGTTTTTCTTTAACAAATGTATGTACGAGATTCGTCATTTAGTTTTTTTCATTGTAGTGTTGTGCAGCCGAATAATAATACAATTTATTTATTAAAAAAAATTGTGCAGCCGAATAATAATAAAATTCATTTCCAAAAAAAAAAGTAAATATGCATAATAATTTTCTTTTAAACACAAATATTTATATATATATAATCATTTTCTAAAAGGTCATATTTTCAAAACAAAATTGGTAAAATTTCAAATATGTTAAGTTACAAATAGTATATATTTCTAAAACAAATGTCAAATTTAAAATTATGTAACTGGAAGATTAAAATGCGACTTTTCCTCTTTGTCCAATCAACTGTGTGCTAAAAGTTTTATAATATATAGGTAATAAGGTCAATTAAGCTGTCTGTACTTATCATGTTGTTAAACCTTATGACTGATAAAATATCCAGGTAATAATTGTTGTTATAAATTCTATGTTGCTATGTTACATTATTTTGTATTTAAACCTGATTGGTCATTTTGTTATTTTAAGACACAAAAATGTTAAAATTCTATTGGTCAGTTTAAAACAAAATCAATTTTAAAAATATTGTAAAAATACGGTAGAATCCCTACTAAAGACCACCTCGGATTTAAGACCACCCCGCTTTTAAGACCAGATTTTAAAAGAACGGAATTTTCTGTTCTTTATGCCAATGGTTACATGATCCAGAATTAAGACCAGCTCACTTATCCACATTTAAGACCAACAAATTCAGTCCCAATTCCTTATTTTGTTCTTTATTTGACCTCACTATTGAGACCACTGATATTAAAATTAACACCTTCCTCGATCTTAAATGTGTTGTTATGTTGTTATTATCTGCTTGATTGCTCTTAGTCATGACACTTGATTACACAAGGTGTCAAAAACTGTTATTTATGGGATATTAAATGAAAAAAGGTGAGAATGTTAATTTAATAGTGGTTTAATGTTGCTTTATGCACATTTGTTTTGTGAAGAAATAAAGTCTGATATGATATGTGAATTATGTACCTCATACAATAATTATTATTGAAATCAGAACAAAGAAAATTTGATATTAAATTTCTTCAGAAATATGTTTTCTTCCCATCAGATGTAACATTATAAAATATATACTTTTATATTGTATTTGCAGGTAAAGATACATATTGTTTGTTCATACAAAATGACTAAAATAGGCCTTATATAGGCTGTCATATCGTGTGTAAGCAATTATAAGAATATCCACAATTAAGACCACCCCGCAATAAAGACCACTTTGGTCCAGTCCCGATGGTGGTCTTAATTGAGGGTTTTTACTGTACATGTAAAAAATTTAGGGACAGTTAGATTTTAAATTTCCAAGTGATAACGTTGTGGCTCTCCACTAGAAATAATTGTTACTGTTTTTAATATTAATTTGTAAACATCAGAATAACCTGTGTATATGTTATATATTATCTGTGGTATTCCACTAAAAAAAACATTAAAATATAAAACGAAACATTGTGTTGTAATTCAATCCACCTTCAGTAGAACCTATAATTTAGCGCATAACAGTATCCCTGTGTTTGATCTTACCCAGGGAAGTATTTTCCTTAAAACGACAGAAAAAAGCCATCTTTACACCCAGTTGCAGTCTACAAGCTAACCTTTTAACAATATCGTACGTACAGTAATTTCTTTTTAAAGGGTTATATGTGTTTCGAAAAACTGGTAGCGTATAAGTGAAACAAGTAAATGAACGTTTATCATTATTATGCATTAAAGGAATTCAGACATTTAGTATTTCTTCTCTGCAGTTACTTTCCTTGAATTGTAGAAATGTTGAACGTTTATTTTATTTTATTTATCAACAGTTTATATCATGCATTTCTCTGTTAAATTTTAGAATTATAAAATTGTTTGAAAACTAGAACTGTGTCCAAAGGTATGAAGTATTTGTAAAATTGTTTCATTTGTAAAATTGTTTCAAAGGTTTTTACTTGAAAAACACTGATGTCAGCCGAAAGGACAGATGGACGGTCTGAAATACAGATACCTACTATTGTCCTTATGATATATAGTTATATGACATAGAGAAATAGTGATTATTTCAAATCTATATATATCCCAGAAATACACAATACAACACAAAAATTTAAAGATAGAAATTGTTTTAGTATTTCGTATCTTCTTTTATAAGTTAAGCATCATCCAATTTGTTATTGTAAGTTGATTCCACATCATTTTTTACTTTAATTTGTAATATTTAAAAACAGATTGCAAAGAAAAAAATCCTGAAAAAATAAATGGTAAAATAAGCAGCAATATCTATCAACAAGTGCTATTGATGCCATAACCACTGTTCATTATCAAAAGAAATTGTATATGATTAACCGAAAGACAACTTTAAAGTGGCAATAGTATAAAGCGATTGTGAAGTAGCGTATGAAACTGATCAAAAATTAAAGAGCAAGTGTTTTTATTGTGTAGGAAGGGCACTTAGCTTTTTGCAAGCAGTAAAAATTGATTGTCATACATAATTACAAAAGTGTGCTCCTAAACTTTGTCACAATTGCTATCATTACTTGTCAAAAATCACTGAAAATGTATATATTTCATATCAGAGTAACATTATATATATGGAAAACAAGAAATCATTTTCTAATGGTTCAAATTATAAATACACACATCATTGATAATTATTTTTACTACAACAATAGAGACATAATCATAAAAATATAAAGAACATAAACCCTATCAAAAGTATATTCCTGTGTATCAAAAATAAACGACAAATACACATGTATCACACACAAAAAAAATACAAAAAAATAAGTAATTTTATTTATTCTTGAAAAAAAATATGTTTTAAAAGAATATCACAAAATAGTACCATCACATGTCAAATATCAATTTAAGAAAGTATCAATCCGAAGAATAATACCTGCATTTCCATTACAAGTATATACTAGCGTACTCATGCCAACGGTTTACCACTTAGCCATCACATTTCTTTCATAATTAACTAATTGGTTCCACGTTAATGTGCTAACAAATAGTTTTCTGATTAAGTATGCATATTGTTTGTTTAATAATTCCCTAGTTAAACTAGAAATGTGTCCTAAGGACACGGATACCCCAACACTCCACGGTGTTGTCAATTTTCTGACTAAAGATAAAATATTTTTTGTGCTACACGCGACATTAATTGAAAATTTCAAATCGTTTACTATGTCAATGACAAACACTTTATAAGTGTGCATAACTTCATACACTTCAAACACTTTTTAAGCTACACATTGAAAATTGTAATACATACCAAGTAAAGTGTAATAACTCTAAAAAAATACTGCATATATACACAAATCAAATCACAGGTATAAGCTTCACATGCAAAAAATGTTCCATGGCTAAAGGTCAAACACTCTTTGCCTAATTGCCCTAGGCGCAACACGAGATGAAATTGCAAGGACAACCACTCTACAAATAATGAATAAATCCCAACACAACACACAATTTCACATGTTGATCAATATTTCATTTAAGTTTCAAGACTCCATGTCAAGTCAGTTTTGGGGTACGCGCGAAACAAGTTGACAACTGCATATTTTACCGAGTCAAATTTTAAGATCAGGTCAATTACTCTACAATTTATGAAATATATACAATCAAACACCTAGATGTTCAACTACAAAATTTAATTATCTGTTATCAACGCTCTAATACTCCTAAAACTCTTGTTAAATCTTCGCAATTTTTTGAAATCAATAATGCTCTACGTCTTAGTTCTTCTATTACCATGTGTGCGCTTCTGGGTTCTGCCAAATTATATGGACTTGGCATTTTTATTTCTTTTAATACATTCCAAATTGGCGTTACGAATGTCGTTTTCATTTGATCAACACGTCCAGTCAGAATACCCAGTGCCATTAGTTCTTTGTTTTCGTTTGTAACAAACACCATTGCACCAGAATCACCAGAGTCAGAAAATTGTCCATAGTCATCGCGTATTTGTATCTGGTCGGTCAGTAGATATGTACTTTTTCTTTTCTTTGTCTTTGCGTTCCTTCCTTCGGTGAAAAAATGTCCATCAATTTGAAATTTACGTGACGAACCGAAACAGTGAACAATTCCTGAAGTGAGTTTTGATTTGAATCCATACTTGACAACCTGGCTATAATCTTTCATTTGCTTCGAGTTCTGTATAACAGATCTTGGGTCATATCGTAATGTTTGAGAGAGCAAATCATCTTGAAATAAAGAAATTTTAAGTTATTTATATAAAATTTGGTTTCATTTAATTCATATTATGATTTGTTCATTTAGATAAATGTAAAAACAAATGATAACCTAAATGGTCCTCTGGCATCATTTTAAGGACAAAATTAACAAAAATGCTAATAACCGACGTTATACTTTTTGAATGAATCGAATCATTTAGATAAATGTAAAAACAAAAGGTAACCTGTATGGTGCCCTGACATCATTTAAAGGAGGAAAACTAACAAAAATGCCTTTAAACCAACGTTATACTTTTCGAATGAATCGACCATGTCATTCAATCAATGGCTTAATCTTTTTAATTATGTTTATTAAAGTAATTTAAACATTCATAGTATATATACATGTAAGATTTTTTTTTAATTTTACCTATAAAAGGAGGTCTTTTTCCAATCATTTCCTCAGCATCTGCAAAAATATCTGGAAATGAAGGTGTCTTCGGTTTACGACTTTCCGCAATTTTAACAAACGCAATGTCCATACCGCCTTTATTTTCGTTTCCTTTAAATAACCTTACATCACATACTTCTCCACATATGTCTGGTTGCATAGGCTGGAAACACTGAATTTTAGACAGTGACTGCACACTTATTTGTCTGTTGTAGAATTTATCAAACTCTTCGACAGATAACAATACATGTGAACAAGTAATTGCACACAGACCATGGTCAGGATGATCAATAAAGCCTCCTAGCGTGCCCCCATCAGGTACCTTTCGTGATTCTATTCGACAACCAATCTTCAAATCTTCATGCCTATCAGATGGGCCAGCAGTAGCAATTGCATACTGACATTCTCTTACATCAGTCTTAAAAACGGTATCCTTGTCGTATTCTAGGTGCAAAGGTAAAGGGTCTTCGCCGACGGGAACATAACCTTTAGCTTCAACATAAAGAACTATACAAGTTGTGTGTTCAGGATCTTGAAGTGTTCGCAATTTTACCGGACTAAGAGATGTGCCTATGAGGTTGCTATGAGATTCCATTAAGCCAGGAGACTTAATGCGCAAGCATTCATTTGCTTCATAAAATCTGTCTTTGATTTGGTATCCGTACAATTTTTCGGTTTTCATTTCTTCATTTGTCTGCTCATCATGTTTCTCTATAACATGAAAGTTATATTGGCAGTCGATCTTGATTGGTTCTGAAGTTGTTTGTATCAAAAAAATGATTTTCTGACCGGGATCACCATGCTTGTAGCAACCTTTAACATTTTCAATGCTTTCATTTGTTACCATCAAATGATTTTCGATCTTTCGGCATATACCTTTGAGTAATTCCCTACCTTCACTGTCATCAGTGAAATTGTCAAACGCCAGTTGCAATTCTTCTTGATTCGGAAGATAGTCGTCGTTAAGCAGTTTTTTGGCTGCATTGACATCTTTTTCCCGTACATATTTTGCCCAATCATTCCAATTGTATTCTTTTCCTATGTTTTTGAAATATAAATTCATAAAATTTTTCATCTTTTTTTACGCCTTTAATTCAAAAAAATGACGAACACACAGAAAATGACACAAGACACTCAAAAGCAAACATAACTTGATAATAATTATTGCAGTGTAAGTTGTAACTTTGAATTCCAAGAAATGGTATCGGAAACAAAACGCAGCGGTTGAATTTATAATTAAGATTAACAAAGTCTTACATGTTATTTTTATGTAAAAGACAATAAATAAATAATGGCCACGCTCTAGCATTCATCTGTTTTGATGTGATTGTATAATAAAAACAGGGCAAACTTTTAGTCAAAAAATGAAAAGAAAGAAATATATTCATCCGCGAATAATATATATTAGAAACAAAAGTGTAAAATATTTAAAACATTTTTAAATATTTCTTCCACAATACTATTATATCATTTGTAGCAATAAAGGCAAAGTTGCAATCCAAAAATGCGTTTCAGTGACTCATCTCATTAACAAAACTAAAACACAACTTTTAGTACTTTTTGCAACATATAATATCAAAACTATTTGAGCAAGTACCTTGACGATGCAAAGGAGATTCTCGGATTTCTGGTTTTAGAACAACGATCGGGTCTTCCATCAAGATATGACAAAAATGCAGTTTCCATTCCTTCAAAATTGACTGGTCAGTTATAATGACAACATCTACCACATCACTATTATCCTCAGCGGTGGTTGACTCGGCGATGTTATCCATTATAGAAACCATGTTTTTTCCTTTCTCAGAATCAAATGTGTCCGTGCCGAATGGATGAAGAAATACAACTAGCTTTGCATCTTTGATATCAATTTGTTTCCAGTCATTGGAGCTGGTAATAAGGAAACAATTGCTTGAGTCATACGTCCTGCTTTTAATGGCAGATATTGCTGTTTGAAGATAGAAACCATTGTCATTTCCCGACACGACCACCAGATGACTATTTTCAAGTTTCGTTTTGATTTTCTCTGCCTCCTGCGGCGGTTGAAATTTACTGACGTATTCGTTCTTCAGAAATGATGCAAGGTTTTCTAGTTGGAAGAAAATAATCTTATCAATAGCAAATACAATAATTATTTATCATGGTACTGACAAGGTTAACAAGACCTATACCAAATGATTTGCCAATGAAACCACTTACAGGTAAAATGTTCATTTCCTGCTGTTCGTTTTAATCCGTGCCTCTCCGCGATACATTCAAGTAAAACAGAACTTTATCAAATAAATGAAATGAAAGAGTAAAAGTTATCTACTCATCACATGCAGAAAAGATTAGAAAAAAAATTAAGTAAATTTTCACTGTTCAAAAATGGTACCATAGTAGCAATTAAAGAGAAAGTTGCAACGTAGAAACTCCTAATACTGCGTTTAAGTGGATTAATTTATTCACAAATTTAAAAACACACTTATTTAGTAATTTTGGAAATAGACAATTTTAAAATGCATTTATTATGATAGATATATACAACTAAAATAAATCAAATACCTTCAAAACGATGCAAAGGAGAGTCTTCAGTTTCTGGTTTTAGAACAACGATCGGCTCTTCAACCATAGAATGACTAAAATGCAGTTTCCATTCCTTTAATATCGACTTATCAGTTATAATGACAACATCTATCACATCATCATTATCCTTTGCAGTAGTTGACTTGACGATGTTATCCATAATAGAAAACATGGCTTTTCCTTTCTCGGAATCAAATTTGTCCTTGCCGAATGGATGAAGAAATACAACTAGCTTTGCATCTTTGATATCAATTTGTTTCCAGTCATTGGAGCTGGCAATGAGGAAACAATTGCTTGAGCCATACTTCCTGCTTTTAATAGCAGATATTGCTGTTTGAAGATAGAGATCTTTGTCATTTCCCGACACGACTACCAGGTGACTATTTTCAAGTTTCGTTTTGATTTCCTCTGCCTCCGGTGGCGGTTGAAAATTACTGACGTCGTATTCATACTTCAAAAATGATGCAAGGTTTTCTGGTTGAAAGAAAATCATCTAATCAATTATATCAAATACAACAATTATTTTGCAAACTTCTTTATTATGGTACTGATAAATTTAACATAACCTATACAAAAGACAAAAATAACCAATTTTCATTTGCCAATGGAAACCACTTACGGGTCACATGTTCATTTTCTGTTGTTCCTTTAAATCCCTACCTCGCGATAAATTAAATCAAAATCAAATGAATGAAGTGAATTAGATACAGTCATCTGCACATTACAAACAGTAAAAGATTTGAAAGAATTTTAAATAAATTTTTCACTGTACAATAATGATATCATTTGTAGAAATTAAAGACAAAGTTGCATCGTAGAAATCATTTTGCATACTCAATTATCATGGTACTGATAAGTTTAAAATGACCTATACAAAAAAAATAACCGATGTTGATTTGCCAATGGAATCCATTTACGAGTAAAATGTTCATTTCCTGCTGTTCGTTTTAATCCGTGCCTCTCCGCGATACATTGAAGTAAAACAGAACTTTATCAAATAAATAAAATGAAAGAGTAAAAGTCATCTACGCATCACATGCAGAAAAGATTCGAAAGAAATTTAAGTAAATTTTCACTGTACAAAAATGGTATCATTATCAGTAGCAGTTAAAGAGAAAGTTGCAACGTAGAAACTCCTACTCATAAAAAGTGGATCAAGTTATTCACAAACATAAAAACATACTTGTTTAGTTATTTTGGAAATAGTCAATTTTAAAATGCATTTATTATGATAGATATATAAAACTTAAATAAATCAAATACCTTCAAAATGATGCAAAGGAGAGTTTTCAGGCTCTGGTTTTAGAACAACGATCGGATCTTCTACCATGGAATGGCTAAAATGCAGTTTCCATTCCTTCAAAAGTGCCTGGTCAGTTATAATGACAACATCTACCACATCATTATTATCCTTAGCGGTGGTTGACTCGACGATGTTATCCATTATAGAAAACATGTTTTTTCCTTTTTCAGAATCAAATGTGTCCGTGCCGAATGGATGAAGAAATACAACTAGTTTTGCATCTTTGATATCAATTTGTTTCCAGTCATTGGAGCTGGCAATAAGGAAACAATTGCTTGAGTCATACTTCCTGCTTTTAATGGCAGATATTGCTGTTTGAAGATAGAAACCATTGTCATTTCCCGACACGACCGCCAGATGACCATTTTCAAGTTTCATTTTGATTTTCTCTGCCTCCTGCGGCGGTTGAAATTTACTGATGTATTCGTTCTTCAGAAATGATGCAAGGTTTTCTAGTTGGAAGAAAATAATCTTATCAATAGCAAATACAATAATTATTTATCATGGTACTGACAAGGTTAACAAGACCTATACCAAATGATTTGCCAATGAAACCACTTACAGGTAAAATGTTCATTTCCTGCTGTTCGTTTTAATCCGTGCCTCTCCGCGATACATTCAAGTAAAACAGAACTTTATCAAATAAATGAAATGAAAGAGTAAAAGTTATCTACTCATCACGTGCAGAAAAGATTAGAAAAAAAATTAAGTAAATTTTCACTGTTCAAAAATGGTACCATAGTAGCAATTAAAGAGAAAGTTGCAACGTAGAAACTCCTATTACTGCGTTTAAGTGGATTAATTTATTCACAAATTTAAAAACACACTTATTTAGTAATTTTGGAAATAGACAATTTTAAAATGCACTTATTATGATAGATATATACAACTAAAATAAATCAAATACCTTCAAAACGATGCAAAGGAGAGTCTTCAGTTTCTGGTTTTAGAACAACGATCGGCTCTTCAACCATAGAATGACTAAAATGCAGTTTCCATTCCTTTAATATCGACTTATCAGTTATAATGACAACATCTATCACATCATCATTATCCTTTGCAGTAGTTGACTTGACGATGTTATCCATAATAGAAAACATGGCTTTTCCTTTCTCGGAATCAAATTTGTCCTTGCCGAATGGATGAAGAAATACAAATAGCTTTGCATCTTTGATATCAATTTGTTTCCAGTCATTGGAGCTGGCAATGAGGAAACAATTGCTTGAGCCATACTTCCTGCTTTTAATAGCAGATATTGCTGTTTGAAGATAGAGATCTTTGTCATTTCCCGACACGACTACCAGGTGACTATTTTCAAGTTTCGTTTTGATTTCCTCTGCCTCCGGTGGCGGTTGAAAATTACTGTCGTCGTATTCATTCTTCAAAAATGATGCAAGGTTTTCTGGTTGAAAGAAAATCATCTAATCAATTATATCAAATACAACAATTATTTTGCAAACTTCTTTATTATGGTACTGATAAATTTAACATAACCTATACAAAAGACAAAAATAACCAATTTTCATTTGCCAATGGAAACCACTTACGGGTCACATGTTCATTTTCTGTTGTTCCTTTAAATCCCTACCTCGCGATAAATTAAATCAAAATCAAATGAATGAAGTGAATTAGATACAGTCATCTGCACATTACAAACAGTAAAAGATTTGAAAGAATTTTAAATAAATTTTTCACTGTACAAAAATGGAATCTTTTGTATAAATAACAGAGAAAGTTGAAGCTTAGAAAATCTAATTAATGCTGTAAGGTGGATCAAGTCATTCACAAAATAATAAACACAATTGTGAAGTACTTTGGGAAATAGACATTTTTAAAATGCATTTATTATGATAAATAAAACAAACTAAAATAAAACAAATACTGTGTAAACGATGCAAAGGAGAGTCTTCAGTTTCTGGTTTTAGAACAACGATCGGCTCTTCAACCATGGAATGACTAAAATGCAGTTTACATGCCTTTAATATCGACTTATCAGTTATAATGACAACATGTACCACATCATCATTATCCTTAGTAGTGGTTGACTCGACGATGTTATCAATTATAGAAACAATGCCTTCCCCTTTTTTTGAATCAAATGTGTATTTGCCGAATGGATGAAGAAATACAAATAGCTTTGAATCATTGATATCAATTTGTTTTCAGTCATTGGAGCTGGCAATGAGGAAACAATTGCTTAAGCCATACTTCCTGCTTTTAATAGCAGATATTGCTGTTTGAAGATAGAGATCCTTGTCATTTCCCGACACGACTACCAGGTGACTATTTTCAAGTTTCGTTTTGATTTCCTCTGCCTCCGGTGGCAGTTGAAAATTACTGACGTCGTATTCATACTTCAAAAATGATGCAAGGTTTTCTGGTTAGAGGAAAATCATCTTCACAATATCAAATACAACAATTATTTTGCATACTCAATTATTATGGCACTGATCAGTTTAACGTAACCTATATAAAGGCAATAATAACCGATGTTCATTTGTCAATGGAAACCACTTACGGGTCCACATGTTCATTTTCAGTATGGTAGAAAAACATATAATCAAGATAAAATTATATTCATCGTTGCTCAGATTCAGTTTGCATGATACTGTTAAGTTTACCATGGCAAAAGATAAAAAACAACGATGTTGTCGTGCAAATGGAAACCACTAACGGTCTATATGGTCTGCTTGTTTTCTTAATCCTTATCTCCAACCACACTGATAATTCAAGAAAAATCATAGCATTATTATCTTTAAAAAATGTTTATTTTTTACTATGATTTTCACATTTTAACACTTCACAGGCACTAACGTTGTGTGTTGTTAATATTGTTTTGGTTTTAGTCAAGTAATAGATTTATATTACAATCAACAGTATTCATAACCGGCGGAATGACGACATCACTTTAAAAACAAAATTAATTCATGAAAAACTCCATAAGACGTCTTTTTAATAAATACCACTCATTTTACATTTGGGTTTGAATATTGGTTCATCTAGGTGTGGTGTAAACACTAGTTGTATAACCTTTCTGTTGAAAATGCGAGTTAAATAGTAAACATATACGTGCACAGTGCGTTCACTGGTGTGCAGGTATTAGTTAACGGCACTCAAGAGCATGCCCATTGATTGGCTCATATTTTTCTGGGGTTTACTTATTGTGACGACGGAGAAAGCGAAAGCGACAAAATATCATATGCAGATACTCGTCTATTGTTAACTGTATTTTGGGTTTCGTGTTGAGACAACAGGGAACGTGTATTTATTTCTGTCTATTGTCTATTATGTATACAAAAGAGAAAAATAATCAAAACACTCGGCAATCTGATTTATACTTGGGGACTATGCCCCGTAATTACAATCAGATAGCCTTGAGCGTCTTTCAGCACTTAATAGAGCTGGTATCAATGATCCCGAAAGACCAGAAAAATATAAAACTGAAGTGAATAACGGGGAAACCTTTTTTACAGCTGCCACACATCACTTGAAAGACAAGAAATTTACGTGCTAAATTTCCACCCAATAACTTCAGTTCGCTATGAACTATTGACACAAAACTTAGAATCTGGGTAGCTTATAACAAAACACTTCTTGGGATTACTACCATAGTGACTGTGATTAAGGTAATGTTACTGTTGCTAAAATAGAAATTCAGTTTTCCACATAATAACTTGAGTGAGCTGCGACCTATTGACACCAAATTTAGTATGTGGGTAGCTTATATCAAGAGGCAACTTGGGATTGCTACCCAGGAGTCTGTGAACAAGGTCCTGATTACTTTTGCTTAAAACTTTAAAAATGAAATTCTGCTTTTACGTAATACATTGAGTTTGCTTTGACCTATTGACACCAAACTTGCTTTTTCGGTAGCTCATTTTAAGATGCAGCTTAGGGTTACTACTTAAATATATAAAGCAATGTCAAGATCACTATTTTACAATATAATGTTCAGTCTCTTCTCAATAACTTCAGTACCTCTTACCTTCTGATGTCTGCGCCACGTCAGTCATCTCGTTCTGAAAATTGAAAACATTCGTGTCATTACGTTGCTAATTGATATAAACAAGACTATTAGACTTGTCAATAACTTTGCACTAGAACATTGAACTTGCAAGCACAATAAATTACTTCTTTATACGAAAAACAGACAATGGAACACGGAATGACAGAATTAGGCTTATTTGTATGAGCCAGAATAACGTTACTGCTTCTTTTTGCATGATAAAAAATTTATTAGCCGCTCTTGTTAAACGATGTGGTCTTTCTGTTATTGACTTGTTTCAATTATCTTAGCGAACAATCACAAATTATTTTCAGATAAAAAATTAAATATTATCATCGTCATCTGATGTTTATTTTAAAATTCATTTGCAAACTCAGTAGGGAAATTAGTCACTGAAAGATCACACACATAAAACCGATAAGATATATCCTTTATGAATCAAGAATTGGTTTTGAACATAATCTTTTTTCTCTTGTCTATATACACACAATTTCATTAATTACATAAAAAGTCTTTTCTATTTCCTAGGATTACAAATTGACTTCATAAATACATAAAATATGTACAATTTTAGTTTTAAGCTTACTGTAGCCTTAGCTGTTTATAGACAGAAACTTTGAATGACCCCCAAAATTAAAACATTTGTGTGTTCTAAACGTGAAATCAATGGGCTGAAGTCATATTAATGGCATTTTGAAAGGAAATATTTGTATTTAAAAAAACTGTCAAAAGTCAAATAAAAACATCACTATTATATGAATCGTGTTCAAGTAACAATACTGCTACCTCCGAAAATGAAAAAATATATAAAATGATTGACATAAAACATATATACAGAAAGATTATAAAGGGGAAAAAGTTTGTTTTGTTGCTCATTTCTTATTTACATACATGCATGTCCCCTTTAAATATACTCTGACATGTCATCTGACATTTCCAAATAAAAGAATAATTTAGAAATATTTTGATAAGCATGTAGTGTGTTTAAGGCTGCATCTAATAAATGTCATAAAGACAGAAAAAGCGACATTTCATTAATAAATTGGGTTTCATGACAACTCCGGATATTATTTTGGTGTTTAGACAACCAAAATAAGTTTTATAAGCATAGAAATCTACAAGCTCATTGTGGCGAAATCGAAAGTACAATTTATGTTGCACGAGAAACTCCGCATTCGGATTATGCGTACATCAATATAAAATCAACAATCATGGCTATAAGTAGCAGTCCTAATCTAACGTATATTTCCGCATTGTAACGGATGTGTTCATAAAAATTTAATCTTTTTATAAGATGATTACTTTTTTCTGAACGCAGGCCTGATGCACCGTGAAGCTGAACCGGTTAAAGTGTGTTTGCACACGAAAATCTTTGCTGTACTCCGGATAGCAACTATAACTCTGTGACGCAGTGCATACATGACCTGATTAATGATTATAGTATTCATTTGCATGTTAATATACAAATTTTAGTATAACTATGGGGTTTTCCGTTAAAAAATCGCAATTCATGAACAATATTTTATGAGATTTGCAACAATACTGTTAAAAAGGTTAATAAAAATGTAGAATGCTTGGTTTTTTAGTACTCTACTTAGTATCATGTCCGGGCTATAAAAGTGATATATTTATATATGTTAACAAACATGATAAAACATTTTGCCATAACAAGTGCATGTACTTATTTTCAAATTAACAATCGTCTGTTGGAATATTTTCATTCACATTTATATTTTATTTACTTGTATAGGGGTTATTGTGTAGGAGGAACTACGTATAGACCTTGCTACGCGCCCGAAACTTATATTTCAATCATATCGCTTCTTCAGTTTTATGTTTGGTTTTTAATGTCATTATAATTGCTTTGAGTCATTGTTCTATACTATACATATGAAATTCAAACATGTCTGGACTTTTATATTTACAGATAAAACATACAAGCCAACACGTCAATCAATAAATATATCATGTTTCTGTTTTGCTTAACCTCAAGTAGTACTAAATATGTAAATATGTGATTTCAAGTCGGTTATTTAATACCAATTCAATACTGATTTACTTTATCATTAAATTTAATCAATTTGCTCTACTGCTTGTGAAACCTAGCTTAAGGTCTTCAGCGTACCCGTTTATATACTATGACATGACGTGAACGCTGAAGATAACCCCGTAGGGAAAGTCCACCAATAATCGTGCCAGGAATCTGACACGCTCGTATTTATTCATCGAACATGCCATGAAGTAAAGTGAAACATACCATGATAAAACTATATATAATATGTTGATAAGCCAAGGATGGAGAAATAAAAATCGTATAACGAACATAAACTACCTAATAGTTTCCTACAGGTAAAAATTTCGGCACTTGGCCGCCATATTGCCAAAATGTTTGACCACGTGATTACGAGATTGACC